CCACCACTCATCTCCCCATGCCTTTGTACCTCAAGAAACTCCACTCCTCCTAACCTTCACCCTCCCTTTTTTCAAGCTTCCATTCCCTTTCTTATATATCTTCATCTCCATCCGTTAACCCCCCTCTTCTCTCCTCTCACCTCTCCTCTCCCCCCATCATCAGCACCATGATTCAGTCACACTCTAGTTCACACAAGGCCTCACCTGCACACAAAGCCCCATCTCACTCTTTTATTGTGCAGGTCTATTGCCTATTCACAGCAACAGCACAGCACAAATCAATCATCTTTCCTAATGGAAAGTCCACATTAACATGAGAGGACACTCCATTTCCGTCCCAGAATGCCAGGTCGACTGGTACCTGAGCTTCAGCCAATGCAGAACCGAGGGCCAGGAGGCACTCTCATTTCAGGTGGGATAGCAGGGTGATGCCGTGGGGTCCAGGGGTGGCTCTGGAAGTCAATGGTGTATTAACTGAGGATGCGACAACGGCAATAAAAATGCAAATTACAAGCCAAAGCAGGGGATGGCCTGGATCTGCCCTTCATAAGCCGAGATAATACAGTCACCACACCTGCCAAGACATGCGGTTCAACACATCTCAGACACAACAATACAATGAATGAAAGGAGGGAGGAACAGGAGGGGTACTGAGTGAGTGACATTGAAACCATAGTTGCTAAGGGGGGTTCCATTTGATCTGTGACAGCCATTATTGGTTAATCAAATAGCCTGTTTAATTTGCATTCTATTTAATAAGGAAGTTAATATATGCTGTCATTTCCCTGAAGCAGAATTCTCAAACCAACGCAGAAGCGTGCACCAGTATTTGAAGTGTAAAACCATTGTAGAGCTTCTGAGTCGTGCTGGTGTTTCTTGATAACAAACAAGCAGAAAAAAAGTGTTATGAAGCAAAAGCCAAGGACAAACTACAGCCTATACAGCCTGTATAAAGCCACTGATGTTATAAAACAAACATTACTGAAAACATTAGCAGCTTTTAATGATTTTTACACCGTTTTTTTTAAGCGTTGAATTTGTTTCACAGTCAACAAAAAAGGCTCTGAAAGAAGGTATGATCTCAGTCAAGTTACTTTAACAGTATTTGGATGTGACTATGATGATACTACTCCTAACAAATAAACTGATGCATCATTTCAACCTACGAGGTCCTTTGCTTGAGGGTGTAAGCTAGACATGCACACAATCCACATTTCTGATTAAAAAAAAAACTGGAATACAACCACACTGTAATCTATTTTACATCCATACAGTTAAATCCTACAATTTCTTTGAGTGAGCCAACCCTCATGTCACAGTAGTAATTTCAGTCATGAAATGTTAATATTAATATTTATCTAATTTTCAGGTTAATATTTGAATTTCGTGCCATGTGTACAAAAAGCTCTTTATTTTTCTCATACTGCCTGTGCTGCAGCACCTCTTTTCACCCTCTGTCTGAAACCAGAACCCAGTCTGCTGTGATTGGTTAGCTGGCCGGCTCTGTTGTGATCGGTCAACAGATTTGAAATGTCCCACCCCTGACATTTCACATTCAATGTTTTGGAGCGCTAGCCAATAAAAGCGTGAGTGTTACATAGTGATGTCATTATGTTAAGTAAGTAAACAAAGGAGTCCAATCGAGGCGTGTCATGCAGGTGGGAGGGTGTGGGAGAGAAACTCCCTCTAGTGTGACCTCAGGGATTTTAGCCTTTACAGACCATTTACATGCACTTACCTATACAACACAGTAAAGGAAAGGGAAACCCCCCAAAAGCATAATAGGCCCCCTTTAAGCCCAATGCATTAATGTCCCCAGAGTTATGAAAATAGACCAAAGCAGCAGAAGACCTCTATCAACTATAAACTCTCTGCTTATCTGTTTGTTTCTCTGTCCCCGAAATCCATGAGAAGGGTCATGTTTGAGCGGACACGGTAGATATAACTCTGTTTATGTTCGTCCCTGGACAATCCTGATCAGCCCGACCATGAAGGACAGTAAGACACAAATACATCCCAAGACAACTGGGTCTTAAGTCGGCCCACCAAGGCCTTTGGGGACACATTGGTCATATTTTACAACTTCTCTGCGTAATGGAACCACTGAGTTGGTCTCTTGTGCGTCACAGGGATTCTCTTTGAGAAGACGTTTATTCAGGGCAATGAGAATAGATATAGTTGTTCCTATTCATAGCAGAAGGTCCACTAGGTCTTAAATCTGAATAATGTTGACTGTTATTATGGCTAAAAATACAGCTAGAGCTGATCATAATGTTTCTGTAATAGTCTCTATACTGCATAATAGAATGGTATATTTAAATGTCCTTCAAATCGACAGTTTAATACAACATTTCCTTTGGAGCTAGAGGGAGATCAGGCTTTAATCATTGTCGCTAAAATACCAGGTCTGTTGTGTTAATCTACACAATTAACTTCAATGTTCTGTTACATTCGAAATCAGATAACTTTCTCTGGAGATGGTTACCACACAATGTACTACAAAACATTGTGCTGCTAGCTGTGTACCTTGTTTTTTAATGAAGTATTTACATTTTTTTAAGACTGATTCTGTATTTTTACATAGCGTCAGTGTCTGTTGTATCTTTAAATGTAAGGCTGCGAATTAAGACTTGATCCAAGGTAAAGTGCCTGTCTGAAAGCAGTGGAGCGCAACTGAAATAATTAAGATAGTTTCAGAGACTGCTCTCGGCTTGATACAAAATAAGTTATTTAACAAAAAAATATCTAATTACTGGTGTTTTCATCCCTTTTTGTATGTTGGACTCATAGTATGTGATGAATCAGAACTACTTTGATTCTGTCTTATCACTTTGAGAGTGGGTTCTTTAGAGTTGCAACAGAGAAGTAGGTGTGGAAAAGTTAATGCTCTACAGTAAATTACTTGCATGAAGTGTAATTATCACTACTGCCAAAAATGGGTTGTTTGCCAGCGTGGAGAATCTTACAACGCCAGTAGCATTTATTTGAACACATGAAGTGCCAGGCAACACACATCCTCCAATGCAATAGACTGATATGTTGAATCCAGAGGGCAGTTATGATGACTTGTCGATTTCACCTAATAAATTCACTCCAAATGTTTTTATTATAGCGATACAGCCAGTATTTCAAATCTTCATTGCTACACAAGTATCATTTAGTACTTCATCTTTCTCCGTCATGTTAAGACTACATGCAGGAGACAGATGTAGCTTGGTAAGACCCCTTAGATAAATATTTAGATTTGAAATCTGACAAACGGGCTGCATTCCAGTGTCAAGAGAGCTGTAAGCTGCTGGTGATACTTTTTTTCAGGAGAGGCAGAAATCGTCTGACATATCTCTTGCGACTGCCAGGTGTGACAGTTCTCTTTCTGCATAGACTTCCTCTTCTCTTTATGTCTCTCGCTGCTGTCTTTTACTTTTAAACACCTCTTTAAATCAGTGGAAGCTGTCTTTGAAGGAGGCACAGAGGAATAAAAAGGGGGTAAAGTGTGTCTGCAGGAGCTTTGTGTCTGGGATTCGGCATGAGTGGTATCATAATGGTTTGGATTTTGTTCCAGGTCTGTTGTAACATGCACCGTCCTGGCAAGTATTTAAAAACCTGCCTAGCGATCAAGTCTGGTCTGGATCATCAGCCCAGTCGGAGCAAAGGGAGGTGGAACAGGAGAAGAACCACCTGTGTAACCTTCGCCTGCCCTCTGCCAAGAACACCACCCACAGGTCCAACAGGAGAATATGGGTCTGATTTAGACAGGGAGGGAGGGATCTATCCTGTTTGCTTTGGGTTTGTATGTAAAAAAGTCAGTCGTGTATGTACATACTGTTCCATGCAATTCATGTAGTATGTGTATCTTATTTTATCAGCATGATTGTCATTTCTACATTGCTTTGGATATTGCAAATGTGTCATTCATGGAAATGTATGAATCCCAAATAAAATGCACATTTCTAAAAGTGCAAATGGATTGCATTTATAAGCACTTTCCGAGTTTTGGCAAGCTTTTACATCGACAGCATTTAACCAGTCATGAACATATGCAAACATTGTCTCCTGAGGCTGCCACCTGCTAATCAGTTCAGACTAACATTCACATGTATTCACATCCTATTAGGAGCCATTTGTGGTTCAGCATCTTGCAAAAGGACACTACTGAAAACTGAATTTATGGCGCCGGAGATCGAACCACCAATCTTCCGATTTGTGGCCAACGCTCGATCTCCTGAGCCACAGCCGATATGGTTCAAGATATTATCTTGAACATTATTTTGATTTGCTTCATTCAGATACTGTATAACTGAAACACAGCCTATTGGACCTGTCTCTTGGCCTTATTGCTAGGCTGCTGCAGCGGGGCCAAACAGCTGTGCTGTTCGGGGCAGCAGGCCACGGCCCTGTATGTTTTCTATCTACAGTGGAATTTATATGAGCCCAGGGTTACAAGCACATGAATGGGCCCCAGTGTGTTGGCTGTTTTGACGTCACCTCATCAGTGCGCACTCGTTAAAACTGGGACACTCCATGGCTAGCATGTATTTCAAAGAGAACTTGGCCCCCTTTGAAGGGCCAGTGTGGTGATTTGAACAATAGACAGATTTGTTTGTGCCTCTTTTAGGTAAGGAACATTCCAGAATCCCCTGTTCATTTTAACCATGTATCGCTATTATCAATATATGTTTTGCATCTGCCCAGAGATATTCTTGTACTCTTGACAATTCTGAACTTGACAATGTTGAACTGCATCAAACAGCAAATGCTTTCTAGAACGCTAAGTTTGAAGAGTCAAATCACATGTCATGCAACATGATTTTCTGCAGAAAGTATACAGTAGCACAATGTTACATAACTGTAACATTTAAGTCATTGTTAAATGTTCATAATACTGTATTTATAGTATTGTATATGCTAAGGACCTCAGATATGTGGTAATGTTAAATAGCATAGTATAGTAATAATGTGCATTCAGGAGTCGAAACAGTAACACCACACACACAAGTAGGAAATCTTTGTTCACATATATTTTATAACATTTTGAAGTACATTAAGTACATTTTAGAAATAGAAGCTACAGTTTATAAAACCTTTCCAGCAGAAATCATTGATGGGCCAGCATCAGCCTTTTTTTCTCTAGCAGACAGGTCTGTTTTCTATATATAAAAAAATAATAAAAAAGAAAAACAAAAGAAAACGCTACATTATTTTGTCCTGCGCTACCTTTAAATTCCCATGAAAGCACCAGCTGTCTGCATCTCTTGTCTTTTATAAAATATAAATTATTGAAAAATATTCAAATGTTTGTGAACTAAATACAATAAAAATGATCTCATAACAAAAATACAAAGACACTATAAAATATACAAAAAACAATAACATCCAACAAAAAAAAATGTTCCTTCTGAATCCATTCTGAGATATGCATATGCCACAAACTAATGGTGTGTATTCACTTGCACAACAAAGGTTCATTAATACATAAGACCTGCAGTAGATTGTAATCTGTGACATTTAACAATTGTATATTTCCCGACAAAATTATTCTTTAAAATACTAACATTTAAGGTAACGGAAGGAGTTCTTTAAGCACAGTATTTTGTGAAGCCGACCAAACTGATATTATGACCTTTAGTGGGGAAAAAGAGGAGCTATTTCAAGGGCACTGACAAACAGTACAATTATGTTTGAAAATGTGTAGAGCTTTCAGACATAAAACACTGACATTGGAAAACTATTCTGAACAAAACAGTCTTTTGAAACCGTGACATCAACATGCAGAGAACAATGAAAGCGCAGTGCAGCTTGTTACTAATTGTTGAATTACTCATGTCAGATGATGTGCATGGGTGAGAGTTTTACGAGTCAGTGCTTGATAATGGCGGACAAGCGTGTTACCGATTAAACATCAGCACGTATCCAGCATCTGTGTTCTACACTCAGTGGGAAACCCATATCAGCAAAGGCATTTATCTTTGTCCTAAAGCTTGTGTGCTTTCCATCATATTAACAAAAGATAAAACAAAAGTCAACACTTTCCAAAAGTGTGAGAGAATTCTGGTCCCTGTCTTCTGACATTGTGGAGGATACCCGAAGCACCGTGACCAAAGACCTCACAAGGGTTTTGGTTATTTTCCCTGCTTTGTATCTTGCTTATTTGTGTAATCTGGGTCTCAATAAAGCATTATGAAATACAATCTGTACAAATAGACATCTCAAAAGATATTTTCATCCATATGGGTAACATTCAGCCACTGTAAACAATAACATTGTATTCTAAGATGATATTCCACTTTGGCATTTCCCACAAGGCCAGTGTACAGCCACTGTTCCCACTGTTGGTAGGAAACGACTGCCTTTTTGCTCAAATATAACCAGTAAATATTCAGTATGTATTATATATTGTTTTGCTCATACATAAGTAGGCACAGATCTACAAATTAAATGCAAATGTCTGCCACTAGTCATTAGCTGTAACCCTAACCCTAGCTCTATTTGCAATGAAGTTCAAGCTGCATTCATGCATCCAACCTCAATGACAGTGGAAAGTAAGTACTCTACCAATGTAATGCCAACTTCCAAGCATCCACCAACTTGCGTCATTTCTGTCAGTCTTTCTCTATCAGATCTTACAAGTGATCATCAACTGCAGTATCCACAGTTTCCTTTCAAACACCTTCATCTATCCTGCACAACTTCAGAACCTTTCTGGTCGCCATGTTTCTATTGCCTATCCCTTTTTCCTACACTTTACCTTCACATACTGCAGCCGCTTCCTAATGGACACAATGTATTGCATAACAAAAGAAAAAAAAAAAAGAATCTGACATACTTAGGATTTGAAAAATCACTCAAATATTTCACTTGTGATTTCATTTTATAGACAGTCAGAAGACTATTTAAACACTTCAAAAGCAACACTAACATGGACAGTGAACCGACAAAGTATGCATCTAATCTGCACATTAAACAACTCTTTTTACTAAAGACTCCTGAATTTCCCCACATAGATTGTCTACAGTTTGCTAATACTGGTGGTGTATGCAAAAATGCATAAGTTTCAGTCATAATATGTGTCTCCAACGAGGTGACAAACATGAATGTAAAGGCGAAAGCGTCAGTTTCAAAAGCAACGGCTACTTTCATATGTCTGTCTGTCAGACACTCTTGCTATGAGTAATCTCATCGGGTCCTCAAACCCTACAAAGCACAGGGCCAGTGTCTAGTGTTGACTGATAACAAATCAGCACATTTCAGTTAAAGGCTCACCTAGAGAACAAACAAACAAACTTGGCATCTAATGTTTGGTTCCACTGTAATACCTTAATTGACAACAAAAATGACAACAACTCTCCAATATATGCCTGGTTTACATTGGGTGTTCTCAACATCAATAATATAATACTGGCACAAGCATATACGCTCCTCAAACCACAAATTGGAAACGACACTTTTTGGTCCAAGCTGAAAATCCTCTCTTTGTCAAAGAGAACATTGGGCATTTATGTAACTGTCATTATACCTTTCGTAGTTTGGTATTCATGTTTTGGCAACAGGAACCTTCTGCCTGCTCTTCCCCAATATTTAATTATTCTGCTTTTCCTCTCTTGGTCTTCTCTGACTTTCTTTCTTTATACTTTCGTCTCCAACACTGTGCTACTTAGGCTGGAGGGAACCTGAACTATACCCGAAAGCGCTCCCTCTGCCTTGAGCTGCTAAATAATTCCGGTACATAATTACACATACGCTCACACACACATGCGCACACACATCTCAAATGCAACAGGGTATGAATACAGGCGTTTGGCTTGTGCCTTCTTTTAAAACATGGTCTGAGAGGCAGGAGGTTGAAATTAACAAAGCCATGGTAAGTCGTTTAAAACATTTTTGGTCCCCAAAAAACGGTTTACCAACTCTATGAAAAAAGTTAAGACCACTTTATGAGCCCCAGTCCTTGTGTCTCCTGAACTTTTGTCTTCACTTCCTGTTTCTTCTTTGCTTTCACTCGTCCGTATCGGGCTTTACGTCCAACATTGCATGGAGCTCCTCAGGAGTGTATCCCAGCAAGCTTTTTAAGTCACAGACAAAGCGGTAGACGTAGCGTTTCCCCGATGTCTTGTGGATGATGTTCTTGTCATAGTAGTAGCGCAGGCCACGGCTCAGCTTCTCGTAGTTCATCTTGGGCTTGTTTTTCCTCTTGCCCCACCTCCGAGCAACCTAAAACAATGCAGAAAATAAGCGTGTCAAGATGTGTCATACCAAATGACTTCAAGTGAAAGCCACAATCGTTTGTTTTCTGAAATATGGTTAGCTCTGAGAATGTAATAATCTACATTAAAAAAAATAAACAGTTTTTTTGTTTGTGGTCTTGTTGCAATGAAATACTACTGATGCAAAACCAGACACCCGTCCAAAAAAAAGATTGATGGAGCCCAACAAGGCATGCAAACATTTTCACAAAGGCAGAAGACATCTTGTTCATCTGGCTAACTGCTTAGGACCTCCCAGTAGGTGTGCCAGTGGCCAGCAGGGTCACAGCCTCTCACCTCATCTGGGTCAGAAAGCTTGAACTCCCAGCCGTCGCCTGTCCAGCTGATGAAGGACTGGCAAGACTTGTCGGTCAGCAGCTCCAGGAGAAACTGCCACAGCTGGATAGGTCCGCTGCCTGCACAACAGATAAGAGAGGGAGAGAGAAGGTGTTTGTTTAAAAAAAAAAAAATACACTGAGGAGGCATATTGTGGTTGTGTAGACACTCGTTGGTGTGTGGTTTTAATTAGATAAGTGTGAGGTTCGGGAAAGATATCAAGATCCAGACTCAGGGTATAATCTCAAACTCTGTAGTCCTATTTTAACAATGCTTGAAGTACTGTTTCTTTTAATTATATTGCATATATATATATATATATATATATATATATATATACATATACACACAGTATGTTGATGCTTACCCTTAACCCGAACTCAAAAGTGGCAAAACACATTTAAAAAGAATATCCAGTATTGGAGTTTACAAAAGAGAGAAACATTGCATGAAACTATGCAAAATCTATATCCTGTTAATGCATAGCGTGGATAAGTACAAAACCCCTCGAAAAGTGAAGTCATCTCGAGATCAAAAGGAGGAATTTATTTTGTCTCTACAGCCTATACTTCTGTGCTATGTATGACCGTGTTAAATATGCATGCCGATTATTCACTTATGTCTGAAGAGGGACAAAGTAAACCTTCTAATGTGGGTCAGACTGAAGTACAGCAAAGGGACCAAATGTCTTCATAAATACAACAGTCCCATTCTTCATGTATCTCCTTGTCTGGCAGTTGCCCTATCCAGTATGTGAATATAGAGTCTGTGTCTGTATGAGTTCCATACTGATGAAATCACTAGTTTAAAAAAAGAAGGGGTGTATTTAGACGTTAATGCAGACTGTGCGTGAGAGAAAGAAAGGGTTTGCTAGGTCATCTATAATGTAATGATGGATAAAGAATATAGTAACCTGTAAATACAGCGCTAGAAACACTGCTTATTACATGTACATCTCATGGAAAATGGAGGGAAAGCAGAAAGAAGATAACCAAAAAGGTCTGATCTCTGAACTAGATTCACTGCAGCGCATTTTGATCTTGTGGTTTTTTTCAGCACATACACTCACCCACCTACCTACTTTTGAGGCTTGCATGCTGAAATCACACCTGCCTATGCAGCACACGGCCTCAGCAAAACTGAAGCTACGCAAAAGTCACCTCTCTCGAGTGCCTAAAAAAAACAAATGTACCTTTATGTAACACAAACAAGAGCTTTCAGGGAAACAGACGTGTGGGTTGAAAACTTGAAATTGTGCTTGTGAGCTCCTGCAAGGATTGGAAGAAGGTGCATGACAACAGCCACCGAGACTTTGGAAAATGAGCGGCTGTGAAACACTGGGTCTCTTTCAGACAGAGGGCTTTCACTCACATTCCAAAAGTCTGCTACTGTAAAATAGCGAGCCCTCATAAGGGTGATACAGTGCCCGTTTACCAGCCCTATGAGCTCTCACGCCAGAATGTACTAGACGACCCTTTGACAAAAAAAGAAAGTTTCCAAAAATATTTTACAAGTCTCCATGCACAATGGGCCTCACAGTGTGGCAAAAGGGAAGGTGGGGTGGGGGCTTGAATTCACAGCAGAGTTAAGTATCTGACCCATGGTTTGCTAAATGAGTCTGGAGTATATGGCTACGGCAAGAACGCTGGGTGGGGAGTGGGCTGCAACTAAGGCCACATTTTTACTGAATGTAGAAAAATGAAAAAAGGTAAAAATTCAAAGAAAAACAAATCATGGATTCCAAATTAAAAAAGGCAGAACCTGTATGTATTTCAATGTTTTATCTTAACTAAAACAATGTTTAATCTTAACTTAAAAATGTAATACACTTAATTATTCTTGAGAACTTTAACTTGACTTTTTAGTTGAAATGAATTGTAATATTATAGTTGTCATGATTATGTGCTGGTATTTAGGTTTGATAGATAGGTACGTTGATGTTTCTTCATATGTGTTAATGGGATAGAGACTCAGCCATGTTAGTAAGTGTATGTTGAATGGTATATGTGTACATGCCCAGGGACAGCAGATAGAACATAGCTGATCTGGCATAAACCATCTCTTCTTTTTTTAGATTAATGTATTTTTATGCTTGATCCTTGTTTAATATGAGACATAATAACAGTTACGATATTTTCCACTTCACTAAACCGACAGGTTGAAAAGGCGAGTATCATGTAACAGATTCAGAGTTTACCGTGTGCAATGTGACTTTAGAGAAAGGTGTAAATTGCAAATTGTCACAGGAAACCACTGAGATGAAAACTAGAGCTTCACTTATCTCGCTCAAGCTTATCGGACTCCCTGTAAAGTGTCACCTGTCACCCTGTGACTGGGACAGGAAGCCGAACACAGCAATCTGTCATAAACATCCATTTGGAATCTTAAAAAAAATATATATTTGAGGTTTCTCTCTTGCTCATCATTATACTTTTTCATCAACCCACACATTTGCACATGGGCAAACACACACACAAAGACACTAACACACACACAAATACTTCTTCCATCTTTGAAGGACTACACTCTCCCTTCAGTGCTCTTAATAACAGCTTGAACTGCAGGCTGCTCCACATTTTTCCCTTTCAGAAAAATTGGGGTATATTCAAATGATTTTTTTCATCTTTCCATTTTTTCTTCGTATAAAAGCTTAGAGGAAGCACCTTCTCCTCAGCCGAGTACACTACTATGCATTAGGCTGGAAACACTCACCAGTCTTTCACACATGTGCTCTTCGGAGACATTTATCCTGTCGTAACAACTGATACATGTAAGACGTCAAAACCAAAACGGTAAATGGAGTGAGAAAGCTGTGGTGAACATTTGAAAAAGGTTTTGAAAGAAGATATTTCCACATGCTAGGGTTTACATTCTGATCTATTACAGATTTCTGTCAAAGCTTATTTCATAAAGCCAGATGTCATAGGTTGTTGAATACAAAAGAAACTTCCAAAAAGCTTATCCGGTTTCAGCTGATTTAACTAAATGTATATTTAGTTCCTTGGTTCATATAGGGTGCATGCAGCAACTCAGCCTAATGGTCACTAGAGGGGCTTTTAGACAGTGTCTAAAGCTTTATTATTTGATTATATGTGCATTACGACATCTTTCCCACATCATTATGAATGAATGACTCACTGTTCTATAAGAAGCTTTTGAACTAATAGCCATACAGATGAAACTTGTGCATACCAACTTTAGGACAGTCAGTTGAGACCTGATGTATGCATTGTTAGTGTCGTTGAAAAATGTGCTCGGATTTCCCCTTTTTGAATGCTGGCAATCTGACAGCCGTGTGACTATAATTTAAACTCAACCGTCTGAAAAAGTCCCAAACACTTTGACTCTAAGATATGATCCTCAAAATGTATTTTTTAAACAGCAGTGTATGTCATAATAAGGTTCACTTGACCCTCCTAAAAGGTTCAAAATGCATTTTCTTGTGCACCATATGATTTGGAAAGTCTTTTTTTTTTACATTACAAATATATAGTAACAGTGTTTTTTTTCTTTGCACCTTTTGAGACCAAAAACCCTGACAGATGCTAAAATAGTGCATTTGCTTGAACAGTGTGCAGTTATCTTCACATCTGACTGAAGTTGGAGAACATATATATGCCTGCTCTTAGAGCATGTACGAGTATGAAAATGCCTCTTGTGATGAAGAGATAATGTTACTCTGGTGCTATGTGCAGGGGCAGGCATCATTTTTATGTTTCACCAGCGTTGCCAGGACGACCTCGGAAAAATAGGTTGAGATGCGGGCTGCAGATAACAAGGAGGTAGATGAGAAGTGAAGACAGAACAAAAGAGTGTGAGACAGAGTGAGAGAGAGAGAACAAAAAGAAGAAGAAGAAGAAGAAGGTAGTAGCAAAATCTATTTTGCTTCCTGTAATGTGCATGACTCGGGTTGCCAGGCTAAAAAGGTGTTGTTGTTTTTTTTCTCTTTTGGTCTAAAAGTGGTGCATTTAGGCACCCCCACATCTGGGGCTTTTGCAGAGCAACAAAAAAAAGTGTGTTACAGCTGCACAACATCTTTTAGAGCCTCCTCGTATCATCGATGGAAGTAACAACATTCTGCAACTTCTGAGAACATTTCACGCAAATAACATGTTGTTTATCTTCATGGTTATGTACAATAAATAAAACATTAAAATGTGAATGTCAACAATAGGATCTTCTAAAGCTAGAGTAACGAGAGTAGGACTTGAAATTCAGATGGCATTCAGATACTATCATAAATTAGCAGCAATATTATCTGAACTAACCGAATAAAGTTAATTTGAATACCATCATGTGAAAATACATATTATACATTTTACTTTTGTTTTATGTGTACTTGGGCCAGCCCTGTGATTGTGCATGCTGGGCAATGTAGCAGCACAACTTAATGGAGCCGATTCTGTGATTAATGTTATCGGTTACCCTGTGAATTAAAAATTAAATTTCTGCTGTGAAAAGGTTCTGTGAAAAACTGCAGCACTTTTCAAGGTAGGGCTTTCTAAAAATCTAAAGGTTATGACCTCTGGACATCTTACCTGTGTATCCTGCCAGTGCTGCCGCGGGGATGACGGGTTTATCCTTGCTGAGGTCCGAGCGCTCCCTCACATAGTCTTTGAAAGTGCCCTTGGGCTTGTGGCTATGCAGGGCAGTGGGGTAGTCTTCTGAGTCGAAGCTGTCGTACGAAGGTACCCGCTGCAGGCTGCTGAACGAGGACTGGCTGCTCCATGACTGGGTCAACCGGTCGCAGCTCTCAAAGCTCTCGATGCTCTCAAAGGAGTCCTGGCCTCCGAGTTTACCTGGGAGAGAGAAATAAAGGTGTTATAAAGATGATAATAACATTTTATTAAACCTGAATTTGTATTATGTATGGCTTTCCTACTCTACTTTTCAAGTCAACACCTTAGAAGTAACTTGTATATTATTCTGTACAGTTCAACATCTCTGTCCATTTCACACCTCATTTCACTTTTACAACCACCATTTGGGTTTGATTTTAAATTGAAGACAATCACACAAATTGCCTTGCTATTTTTGGCCTTGGGAAAGATAAGAGGAGCCTTTGAACGGTGAGCTATTACCAAATGACAGATAATGCAAGTCAACTCGATTGATGGTGAAATGTTCTACTGCTGAAATTGAAGCCACATGTGGACATCAGTTGTGCTACGAAATACTTTCCCACGTTTGGAGAGCACCATTCAACGCTCAAAAGCTTTGAATGTGTGATGCGTAAGGATCAGACCACATACCTTGCAGGCACATGCTTAGAGCACTAGCAGGAGGCTTGCATGCATGGTGTACAAATCTGATGCTATTCATTTATACAGCTGGGGATTTGTGAGAAAGAAAAATCCTAGGTTTATGGCTTTAAATGTAAACCATGCTGCTAATTCTTCTGTAAACTATCACTGGGAGAGAAAACAAGCATGCGCATTGAAAAAAGCAAACAGTTGCATGAGAAAACCCCACGCTTGCTTGCTGAGGATGACACCTCTACCTCCTTACTCAGAAGTCGAGGAAAGGAGGCCAACAGAAACAAGAAAAGAAGAAAACATTTCTTGAAGGTTACACCACTTGAACTGTTTTACATAAAGGACGGGCGGCAAGAAGAGAACACGTTGTGGCTTTGGTTCGTGTATCACACTGACAGAAACAATAGAGTTTTCTTTTTTTCTCCCAACCAAGTCTAGATTGTGTGAGGCGGGTTTGCTTGAACCACAAACCAAACAGAGGGCCTGCTTTTCTTCTCTTCTAATACTTGCAAGCTGATGTGGCATGACAAGATTCTGGTGGCCTCAGCACAATCACACACACTCACAAACCCACACAAAAATATGTACCTGCACTTTTGTTGGACATATTTATCACATACACATCTGTTGAAAACGCTGAAATGCAGCACATTTTCACTGCTTAAATCTCAACTATACTACGTGTCTGGTTTGTGACCCCTCACCTCGGCTGAGTCGTCCCACACACATGTTGTCATGGGATACCACCTCCTGTTTGACAGTGAAGTAGTCCCCCTGCAGCGGGTTGAGGGGCGTGTCCCGTAGGATGACAGCAGGATATTCACTCTCGTACTTGAGCGTCAGCAATTCCTCCGAGCTGATGGGATGAAGTGTCTGGTAGGACTCTGTGATGAAGCCGGGCTCTGAGTATTCAGAAGGAGGGACACATTGGGCATGTTCAATTCCGTAGCCTGGAGACACAAAGGGAAATGAGTGTGGATAGAAAGCAGAGATGGGAGCAAGGAGCAGAGCAGAGGAGGAAGATCAATCATAGAGTGGAGTCATTATCTATATTGTGCTCAACTGCTGCCCAATTGCTTAGTGTTCGAAAAGCCCATCGCAGAAACAGCCCTGAGTGCACAAGATGAGCCTTGTCCATTTGAGGAAAGATTATTGATTTGTCATGCACCCATCTTTAGCAGAACTTACATTCATGCCATATTGCTTCCTATAATATGTCATCAACAAACACCTAAACAGGCTTTTTACTTGGATCTAAATCCAAAAGTTAATTTCTTCCTAACACTAAATCCCCAAACTCTTTTATTCACTACGCAAAACCACACCTCTTTTTCTATTCAAGGAGGCTCACGTCTTGTGCTATTACGCAGAGTGATTTTAGTACTTACTGACAAAGTAGTCTGAGGTATAACGGGATTCCTGGAAGTTGGAGGTCAGTCCATTGATGGGATAATGCTTTGCATCCTCTTCATGAAAAATAGATAGAGAAAGAGCGTCAGTGACCTCACCATTGATTTCATGTATTGTGTAACTGCATCCAGCATTATCAAACATTAATGACCTGAGCTAAATTGTGTCTTCCCGTTTGGCTCCTGTTACTATAGCAAATGTCAACACTGTCCTACTCTAAATTGGTGAGAGAAGTGATATCACCCTGCGTTGGGATATGTTTCCTCACATACTGTATGTAATTTATAAAGTTGCTGTCTTAAAACTATCTAATAAAAGTGGCGTGGACAATTAAAAAAGAACAGCATTATGACCTAGCATCAGACAAATAAATGTGGCATTACCTTTCTGAAGCATTTCTAAATGTTCCCAAAGGATGTCACCCACAAAGTCAGGCGCTAAGTCTAGGAAGCGATCCTTCCCCATCGCACACAGGCTGGCTCCGTTCATGCAGAACTTTTCAAAGTCGACATTCTTCAGACTGAACTCGTTCACTGTCCATGTTAGCCACTCAGCCACATGGTTGTCTGTCCACTGTCTGGGATCTGAAGACGAGCACACATAATAACACAGTTAGAAAAGGCCCTTAAGTACATGTGCAATTCATTGAATCCTAATCCTCATGTCCATACAGAGTATGGCGCAAACCACATAGTCTCTCTGAACTACAGACCATTCTGTTTTATTCTTGATGCCATCAAAGATTATGCAACCAACTTTCACACCGCCTCTGTGGTCAATGTATCTAACCATGACAAGTCAATCAAAAACAAACAGGGAGGCAGGGGTGGATGTAAACAGAAGTGGTAATGACAAGCTAAAACCAAAGTTTGCACATATAGTACGATTACATGCTGAGAGTCCTGCCGCTTCCAAACAGCTTGAAGAGGCTCTGTGGTTGACTTCCATTTAAGAAACTAAGTCATTATTGTAATGTCCGTCTCAAGATTCTCTGGAAGCTGCAGTCAGACAGTCTGCCTGTACTGAAATATATGTAATGTACGGCCATTTCTAGAATAACTGGGTGTCTCCTTATGTTCAGTCCTTCTAAGAGATGCCTTCACAGAATTATCTAAAGCGGGCTTTATTGCCTGACATGTGACATGTTGAGATTCTTTGAAAATGTTATGAGGCAATTATAAAAAAAGCTGACAGTCTTACCTTTGGGAATACCAAGCCGCTGCTGTTCCTTTGTAAAGCCGCTGAAGGTGGCCTTCAGAGCCTGGGACATCATCTCTTTACTTCCTGGAGTGAGAAGGGGAACATCTCCACACTCCGGATCTGCAATTTACAAAGAAAATTGATTATGATATTATTTCGAGTTTTATATCTCCTTTATTTGAGATTGCAATTACTAATATGTTAACATATGCTTTAATTATTCTTGACAACCCAAGATATGAGAATGCATCCTGTATTGTATTTCATGCCAATAGGTTTCCTGAATGAAAAATACAATTGAATCAGAGAAGAGGGCGGGAAAGAGTGACTTGTGAATGTAGTTCAGTTACATGTTCACACACACACACACAAACACAAAATAGACACAGTTGTATCGGACCGTGATGAACAGCAAGGCTCAACAATTACATTTCGTCTAGACAGAAACTGTCTACATATCTGATCCAATCTATTTTAAACAAGAGCTGTCTACAAACGGAGGTAAAACTGCATGTGTCAATTTGTTTTCTTAATGTTAGACTTGTGCATGTTTTGCAGGCTAAATAGTACAAAAACACTTAAGTGCATGGTCATTTTGGATAGTTCACAGGAAGTCTTTCTACCACTTTTCTTTTTGACTCTTGTCTACAGTTTCTGCTTTTTCAGGCAGATTCCTGAGGCAAATCCCACTCACCTGGCATGCTGCATTAGTATAAACACACACGTTTATTTACAAGTACTACAAACATTAACCTCTCTCCCAGCCGCACATTCTGGGTGGGGGAGCAGTGCGTGGTGCCCATAAGTGACACCCTGACCCCTGCTAGCCCTCCTACCATGTTGCCCTGACACAGTGGGCCTACTGTCACCCGACCAAGCATGGGGTCAAACATTCTGAGAGTTCAAAGGTCGAGGGATGAGGTGATGATGTCACCGTGGCTGCTGGCGGGTGGCTTATAGAGTTTGGGGGTGGGCTGTCTCAAGGGTCTTGGTCACACACACTAGGGTTACTGTTCTCTGATCACAGCCAGTGGGCACCCTTTGTGGAACAGAGCTGCCTTTGATGGCTTTAAACAGTGCCTGATGACTCGCACTCATCTAATTAGATTGACTAGGCTGCAGAAGTGTGGGATGAGGGGGCAAAGCAGGGGAGATGATAAGGGGAGAAGGGGAAAGACCCCCGGGCCACCAACACAAGAATAGAATAATCTGGCCAAGACTCCACGAGTGACTTGTAAATAGACAATAAAGGCCTTATAGATTTCTAATTAACTGACATGTCTTTATCAAAGCACCCACCCTCATTTACACAACAAAGAAAGACATATATCGTGATCAAGTCTGCAGAACATAATATAATTATCTTGTCTAATCAACTTGTGAAAGTAAAGCGTGTGAAGCAAATCTTCGGCAGGGTTAAGGTGCATGCAAAATGAAGGGGTTCAGCAAGCTTTGATTTGTGCAGCATGTCTTTCTCCTTAGCTCATCCCTTTCTGTCCGTCTCCATTGTGCATCAATTAAAATCATTACAAACCAGATCAAAAAGGCTTAGCCTGAAGGCAAAATCATGATGAGGAGGAGTTGTGCAACTACTCTCTTCGAACCCAGATGTTCTGGCATCGCCACTGGCTGGTGGTTTTATCTGCCAGTCGAACACTGGGGCAACATACAGTTCATGCTTGTTTTCAGCACTCGTTGACGTCTCGACCTCGTCTGGAATGCACAGCAGCTGCTTCGCCCATGTAACCAATGTCTGTCTGGCTGTTTGCAAAATAAAGACTCCTAGTTTCTTTTTTCTGTCTATTTTCTCTCCCCAAAGAACAAAGCCTCATAAGAGGTCAGAGACAGAAGACAGACAAGAGCTCTTTGCTATTTCATGTAATTGAATTAGGGCTTGTTTTAATATACTGCTGTCTGTTACACTGATGAACACAGAACGTTATTCATTCAAGTCAGAAGTAAAAGCAAAGCCTAAAAGCTGAGAACAACAATCTCACATTGTAAACTATTGTCAGTTTGCACATCCAAATAAATCGTGCAGTTTCACAATGAAAATAAGACCAGAGCTAGTCTTTGTGTACAAGTTGCCCCTCATAGGAAGGTTGTCTAGGCCTCTGCTGAGCTCATTTTTCTTTTAAGTAGTGTTGGAAGTGTAAAAAGGAGGGCACTGCTAACGGCTGCAAACTGAGATGGGACTGGGGCTCAGACAGTCTGCGCTTTGATGTGAAGGCAGGGCTGAAATGTGGCAGTTTATTTAAGCTGGATCCAGAGGAGTTTGTTTGCACTTTCGAACCGATTTCCCCCTCCCTCTTCCTCACTTTTATCACCCTAGCCCCAGTGGGCTTGGCCACACAAACTTGAGTCCACTTTAACACTAAATCCTCCATAGAAGACACTCAACACCACCGTGCACGAGGACTACCATTAGACCCTCCAAAGGGAAATATGTGAACCATGATTATAGAGCAAAATGTGAACTGCAATTTGTGTGATTTCTTTAGTTATTATTTTTAATAATATGGGATTTTTGTTTAAAATCTTGAACATATTCAAAACACAACAAATGTTTTGTTAGGTTGTACAGTTAGGTGATACTACAACAGTCTCTTAAAGACGCATTCCTCCTTCAACTAAATCATTTGAATAGTACATTATATGTATGTGCATTGCTTTGTTGTTGTGTTGTCTATCCCTAAAACAAGATACAGAGTACACAACAAGGCTGAGAGGCAAACAAAAGACCTAAAAGTGCAAGGATAATAGAGCAGCCTCCATGGCGAGTGATCCATATGAAAGTTATCTGCGGCAGAGCTAATGTACAGTGTGCATCCATTAGCGAGAGAGGCGAGCTTGGATCTAGACGATCTCTAGTAAATGATGAAGTCCTGATAGGATTTCAATGCCTGTGAGTCCCATTAGATGCAGAATGGTCAGTATGTACTGAGACTTAGAGCATCCACAAGTCATCACTTTCCACATTAGACGGTGTGGGTCTGTCCGCAAAATGAGTCCCATCCACTTAGCTCACGAAATGTAGGAGTGGGTGTAAATCACAGGGAACATTATGGCGGTTCACTAACAGCGAAAGTAAAAAGAGCATCTTGAGTGAAAAGTATGAAATTAAACCAATTTCTCTGAATGATATAGAGGGAATAATAATAAGTACATCTATTCTAATAATTGCTGATATAATGAGACTGATGTTGAGTCTGGAATTCACAGTTAAACATATTGATTAGCCACTCCCATATTCCCATGATATCAGTAATGTTCAGGCTGCTCAGTGCGACAACCATACTTCTCCAAGGGATTCTCCATGACATACTGTGCCTCTGTGACCAAGCCCTAACTCAAGCCCAGCGTAGGTTCTGTATGGCTCTATATGCTGTTCAACTGACACACATTGATACACACATACACAAACCAAATTAGCAGCCTTCTTCGCCTGTGCGCAAGAGCGTGGGCGTGAAATTGGGAATTTTTGCGACTGGGGCCAAAGTCTATGGGGCTGGAACAGACATGGCTGGGCAGGGCAGGGTAGGGCCGGGCTGGGGAAGATAGCAAGGGAGCATCCCGGGTGGGTGAGGGGTGAATGAGCAAGGAGGGATGACTCACCGGCCTGTAATATGAGCCCATCACAGGACAAGAGAACCGGGGGTGGGCACAGTGGGGAGAGAGAGAGGCAGGAGAATGAATGGGAGGTCTCATAATGCTCTCTCTCTTCTCCTTGTTTCTGGAGTGACATCACAGTGGGATCAATGCCATCTCCCAGCCTCTGGCGGAGACTCAGTTCATTCATAAAGCCTGGACTACTGCCTCCACTCAGAATGATGCAACGATACAAGCAGAGCAGGCTACCAGACCCAACAAATAAGGGACAATATGGTTTCTGTCATGCGATTGAGCTATAAATAGCCCTATAGAGTTTATCCAAAGAGTGGGAGTGTGTTGGCGTGAGGAAAGAGAGTCGGCTGTGAGAGAAATTGAAACACATTACAATGAGGAGGACATCTGAAAGGCCATTCAGAGATGTTAGGGTCATGGAGAATGTTAAGGTCAAATAGTCATTTATTTATAATGGTGTCAAAGCATGTGGTAATTCATGCCTCTATTTCTATGCCCATCTGTAGTGAATGGTGGGGTTTATTTAAATCTGCAAAAAAGTCCATTTCCTGTGGCTAAGTTGCCACTTCCTGTGGGAAGTGAGGTGAGTTGTGGGTTCAGTTGAGGGTCATATCCCTACATGCATGCAGGTATATTTCAGCACACTGCAGGGAAAATGAGAGGAGGTCTTGGATACTTGCCAAGGGTTCATAAACGACTCTTTAAGGCAGACCAGTCTGACCACAGCAGGCCAGAGGTGGCACTGGTATCTGAGAGAGCCTTTGATGGAGATTTGTATCTGGACCCCTGATCTGAAAACCCGGGGTCATAAACCCGACCAACATGAAGGGTCCCATTCAGCGCTACAGGGTGATAAAGTGGTGGCTGAGGGTTGCAGTGGAGCAAGAGGAGGAGGACGGGGTGGCAGTCTGACTTTGAGAGGACCACTTGTTCAGCCAGCCGCTCCGCTGTTTTGATTTCCATCTCAATGCCAAGGTCCAGGAATAGATATATAGGCCTGGCTCAAGCCAACGTTGAGAAACCAATCCAAGCCTAAACCCAAGTCTGCTCAAGCACAGGACAATGTTGACCAGAACGGATCCTACAGACAACCCAGGACCAACCCACTATGACAGAAAACCCTGCTGAAACACTAGTTGTATTCTTAGGTCACCGCTGGCTTCTGGCTGCACTCTTAAGGCTCAAGCCTGTGGTGGTGATAAACAGCTGTACGCAGCGAGGCCACTACTGCTGACATCTGTCTTTGACCATGAAACTAGAGTTGTCCGGGATCATCAACACCACAGACATACCGGCTACTGAAGCAGACAATAATCCAGACTAATACCCTGAAGCTGCTTTGCTGTCTTTCTCTCTTCCACTCTGTCCATCTCTGAAATCATATTAGCTTATGATTTGAAAGTGCATTACCTCTACTGTTTATGCCAAAGTCTCAGCGCTTGATATGACATTACCTCTACGTTTGAGATGGTAAGCGCCATCGGCAACAGACGCTA